TTCCGTTGGAGCATGCGCGGGGGAGGTAAAAGATCCAGCAAAATCCTATCCTCTGGCGTTGCTGGTCTCTGTGGGACTGATGCTTGTTACCTACATCGTTCCAGCCTTTGTTGGCTTGAGTGTGGCGCCATACTTTGAGCTGTGGAAAGGTGGCACGTTTACAGACATCGCTGCAAGTGTTGGAGGTCGTCCGTTGGAGGTAATGTGTGGAAGATCCTTGCTCTCTACTCGGGCAAAGGACTTATCTTTATGCGTGCCAGATTTGGTTGGGACTTGGAGGAGTCACTAGCGCATTTGGGCTTCTCCTAACTCGTCTATGTATGAGCTCAAGGCTTGTCTATGGAATAGCCGTTGCACATAAGGTACGTGCGGATTCTTCTGTTTTGGTAGTCTGCAGCCTTCTTACACTATCTGTTCCGCAGGCACCCCAGTTCTTTCAATCTATTGAAGAGAAACATGGAACTCCTTGGGTAGCACTAATTATCACGGCTTTCTGCACTCTGCTGCTGTCTGGATCAGAGTTTACACTTCTTGCTGAGGTGAGAATATAGAAGGGTGTGGTGATTCAACATGTGGACGGTGAGATGCTACAAGGGTATGATGTTGCAAGATGTGGACAGTGAGAAGCTACAAGGTTATGTTGCTGCAACATGCGGACATAACTTTGATTGATATGTATGTATTCCTAACTTGCAGGCGGACATGGTGTTGTACTGCATCTCTTCAGCATTGAAGTTCTCAGCTCTTATCTACCTGAGGTTCACAGAGCCTGATGCGTACAGGCCGTTCCGCATTCCTGTGGGCAATGTAGTGCTTACTGGTGAGTTCTCGGCTGTTTCTGTTTTTTCCCTTGTCATCCATTCCTCGGCTTTTTGTGAATCACACTTCTTGCACCTGGCAGGTCTTACGACTATTCCGCTCCTAGTGTGCTTCGCAATGGTGCTGCTGGGTTCACCCTTTTCACATCTTGTGGCTCTCTCATGTATGTGTGACGCCTGCACCTTAGGCATGTAACGCATGGAATCATGTGGGATTGACTTTCTTCTTGCACGATTGCAGGCCTTATGTTCTCCATCATAACCCATGTTTGGCTCGAGGCCATTGTTCCATTCCTACAAAGGGCAGCATCGGCTGCTGCTGTTGTGTACTACGGGATGAAGGAGAAGTTCACGAGAACGTACTCTCGGCCAACACATACTACCTTCAGTGCAGATCCGCAAGACACTACACAACAAGCGTGACTTATACAATGATGCTACGTACCCTGCATTGTCTACTATGTACCATGTTTATGCAATTCAATCAGTGTTGACATTGGCGGTAGTATGAAGGATCAGGTGGAACATAATAAAGAAATGTCTAATTCAATGTGAAACAAAATGAAGTGAGATGAAACAGAGGTTTGATGTGATGCGTTTTTGTCCACTGCGTGCTCTAGTGTGTGCAGCGTAGCGACTCCTTACATGCGGTACACAGCTGCATCTTGCCAACAAGCCAGTGGAAAAGCTGGTGCGTGCATTTGAGTAACTCCACGTCAGACTGCGTGACCCATATGGACACTCAGCCAATCATGTGCAACATTCATTCTTCATCTCACCTGACGTGGCATGTTTTGTGGACGCCATCCCATTCCTTGACCCATTCCATTGAGCAGAAGTGACGTTTTGCGAACCGAGCCTTCGTTTTGTGCTTGGCCAGGTTCTTCGCAAATTGTTTGGCGCGAAACCGAGCCTCGCGGAGGTAAGATGCCACAAAACTGGCTCGGCCGAACAATTCTGGCCCGAGAAACGAACCAGGCCTGGTGGTGGGTCACAAGCAAGCCAGGCCCAAACCTGATCCCAAGGTCACCACAATTTTCATCCCAAGGTGGCGAAAAATGACCAGCTGCACATTTGATTCGCACAATTCCCAAGGGCGTCCTGGTCTGGGGTGCTGCTGGTGTCCTATTACTGTTCTGAAAGATTTGGGCTGCACATAACTAGCCTCATTACTGGACCTGGATTCAGCAATAGCCGAGGAATTCATCAGGAGTGAGCTCTACTGTGTTGTGTCCTTCGTCTCGCAGGGAACGAGCTGGTCAGACAGGCCTAGCGTTGTACATTTGTGCAGGCTAGTAGTTTCCTACTGCCGAAATGGCTGCATCCAGCAGACAGCAATGGATGCGCTGCGTGCGGAGTCTGGGAGTCGTCATTAATAACTCCGGCTCACGGCCAGTCGTGAACCACTCCCGGCCTCTCACCTCCCTCGCCGACGCTCCTGCTCGCCATGGCCACTCCAGCATGCTCGGAGCTTTCTCCGCTCGTTCCACCGGCATTTCCGCAGAAATCCGCGCCAGAAACGCCGCTCAAGGGTTCCGTTCCATCTCCGTGGACGCATTGAAGCCTAGCGACACATTCCCCCGCCGTCACAACAGCATCACTCCCCCAGAGGCCCAGGGCATGGCTGAATTCTGCGGCTTCGAATCCGTCGATGCTCTTGTCGCTGCGACCGTTCCCAAGGACATCACACGCCAGCCGATGCAGCTGGGAAAGTACACGGAGGGATTCCCGGAGAACGAGATGCTCGAGCGCTTTAAAGACATGGCTTCTAAGAACAAGGTTCTCAAGTCGTTCATCGGCATGGGTTACCACGGAACTATCGTCCCCCCGGTCATTCTCCGTAACCTGCTCGAGAACCCTGGCTGGTACACCCAGTACACTCCTTACCAGGCGGAAATCGCTCAGGGACGTTTGGAATCTCTCCTCAATTTCCAGACCATGATCGCTGACCTCACGGGCAATGCCGATGTCCAACGCGTCGCTGCTGGACGAAGGGACGGCGGCGGCGGAAGCCCATGGCCATGTGCCTCAACATCAGCCGAGGCAAGAAGACCAAATTCTACATCTCCAACCTGTGCCACCCGCAGACCATCGACGTGTGCCTGACACGCGCAGACGGGCTGGGGATCGACGCCATTGTCGGCGACCACACGAAGTTCGATTACTCCAAAAAGGACGTCTGCGGCGTGCTGGTCCAGTATCCCGCGACGGACGGCACCTTGATCGACTACTCCGATTTTCGTCGCCAAGGCGCACGAAAACGGTGCGAAGGTGGTCATGGCGACGGATCTGCTCGCGCTGACCGTCGTCCGGCCGCCTGGCGAGCTCGGCGCGGATATGGTGGTGGGATCCGCGCAGCGGTTCGGCGTGCCGATGGGGTACGGTGGTCCCCACGCGGCGTTCCTTGCCACGTCAGCGGAGTACAAGCGCCTGATGGCTGGGCGGATTATCGGCGTGAGCATTGACGCGCAGGGGAATCCGGCGCTCCGTATGGCGATGCAGACGAGGGAGCAGCACATCCGGCGAGACAAGGCCACCAGCAACATCTGCACGGCGCAGGTAAGAGATCCACTGGTTCTTTGTATGTGCACAGGTTACTCTACGGAGAATTTGTGCTGCGTATGACGATTGAAAAGAGAGAGCAGCATATCAGGCGAGACAAGGCCACCAGCAACATCTGCACGGCGCAGGTAAAGAGAGCCACTGGTTCTTTGTATGTGCACAGGTTACACTACGGAGAATTTGTGCTGCGTATGACGATTGGAAAGAGGGAGCAGCATATCAGGCGAGACAAGGCCACCAGAAACATCTGCACGGCGCAGGTGTGCAAATCCGTCGGTGTCTGCACGCTCAGGTGTTAGAACCAGCGATTCGTACATAGGTTGATACAAAATGCCACAGAATCAGGTGACAGGGAACGAGGCATTTAAACAGGGCCTTGCGTGGCGCTCCGTTGCCTAGCGAAGTCGCATTCCGCAGTTGGACGCAAGCTTTTAAGCAGCCGTACGAGTCCGCGACAATGTCGCAGCTCAGTCGGACGCCAGGACTCACAATGTTTCGATAAGCTTCTGCTAGTTCGCCCCTTCTCCTCATGCCGGTTATTGCACTCCTGTCTTCCCTTTCCAGCCTTCTTCCTCTAATCCTCGTTTTTTTCTCACGCTCTCCTCTTTGCATATGTCGTCACTTAATCCTCTCTCAGGCGCTCCGCCAATATGGCCTCGATGTACACCGTGCATCACGGCCTCGAGGGGCCTTCTGAGTCGACTCGAGGGCGTCAATGTGACTTTCGAATCGACTCAATACTTATCTCCGGCCCTTTCCCTCCTTCCCTCCCCCTCTCCTTCCTCCATTTCCCTCTCTCTCAGGCGCTCCTCGCCAACATGGCCGCCATGTACGCCGTGTATCACGGCCCCGAGGCCTCAAGGACATCGCGAACCGCGTGCACGGGCTCGCGGCGGTCTTCGCCAAGGGCGTCGAGATGGCGGGCGCGGGCGCCGTGGCTAAGGAGCCCTTCTTCGACACCGTCAAGGTGGTGGTCGGCGGCGGGAAGGCCGCTGCCGTGGCGGCTGCTGCTGTGAAGGAGGGTATCAACCTTCGCGCGCTCGACGCTGATACGGTGAGAAAAAAATCCTGTCGGGTGGGGGGGTGGCGGAGGTGGGGGGGACGGGGAATGGGGATAGGGGGGGGAGGTGGGGATGGGAACGGGGCGGGCGCAGTGGCCAAGGAGCAGTTCTTCGACACCGTCAAGGTGGTGGTCGGCGGTGGGAAGGCCGCTGCCGTGGCACCTGCAGCTGTGAAGGAGAAAATCAACCTTCGCGTGCTGGACGCTGACACGGTGAGGGGGTGATTACATGGCGACTGTAAGGGGACGATGCGTGGTTTGGAAAGGTAAGTGGAGTTGGGAAGACGTTCTTCACGGAGCAGAATGGATGTAAGGAATGCCGTGAAGGTCGAGAATTCGTGAAAGGTGCTGGGTGGTGGTAGCGTGATGTGAGATTGGTTAGCACAGGATAGAGATGGCGTCAAGGCGCACCTCGCCCACTTCTCGCCCGGGACAGCCAGGGCTGGTTTGGAAAGAAAAGGAGAGTTGAGCGAAGTCGTTAGAATGAGAGACAGGGATGACAGAAAGAGATTCAATGTGGAAGGGATTGGGCGTGATGGAAGGATGAGTAGTTTGCAGGACCATAAGCATGCTATTTTTGCGCTTGTCTGTTTTTGGAGCCTCTACGACTGAGCTTGGACGCGTGTGAAACTCTTTCTTGATCGTCGTCCCCTCTCCTGCTAATTGCCCCTCTACCGCCACCAACCCCCTCCCCTCCTCTCTCTCTCCCTCTCCTCCTCTCCCCCTCCATCTTCCCGTTTTTCTCCCCACTTTCCTTCTTCTTACCGTCAACAGATCACTGTTGCGTTCGACGAGACCAGCTCCATTGCTGACGTGGACGCGCTCCTGAAAGTCGTGGCTGGGAAGCAGGTGAGGGGCGATGAGGCACGGCGGGCAAGGGCTTCAGGCATGGGGCTGAGGTTGAGCGTGAGGTGGGACCAGGGGAGAAGGGGGTCGGGGGGTTGAGCCTTGGGGCTGAGGCAGGACGCGGGATAAGCTTGATGGGTATAGATGAGAAATGTGCTGTCCATGTGGGGGACGGGATGGGGGGCGAGGGATGGGAGGGGGGCGGAAGAACGGCCACTGGTGGACTCATTGTTTTGATAACGCGTCTGAAGCCGTCAAGGTTCATTCTATGAAAAGTCACTCCGTTCACTCTTGCTTCTGCAATCCGTTTCTCACTCTTGTTTGAACCCACCACTCAGCCTGCATTCCCAGTGGAATTTAGGATCAACTGCCTCTCTTATTGCTGTCTTAGCCAATGTAAAATACGCTCGGACTCTATTGCCCTTGACCCCATGACCCCACTGCACAGCCTGCCTGCCTGCACCCCCTGTCCATCGCACCGCAGGTGGGCGGACGCATCTCTGCCAAAAGTGCCAACAATTCCTCCCCCACTTACCCCATTGTCCACTTCGTGTGCTTCTCCTTCGGTGCTCCCGTCTCATTCCTTGATCCCTTGACCCCTCCGCACAGCCTGACTTCACAGCGGAGTCCATTGCACCCCAGGTGGACGCGTCTCTGCCCAAGGCGCTGGAGAGGGACAGCGCCTTCCTCACCCACCCCATCTTCAACGCGTGAGTGTCACAATGATATCTTATGGCTGACTTGGTTGCCCTGAGTCGACTTGGTCAAGGAATCAACAGGCTGCAGTGCCCCATGGGCTCTGGTTTGAGGCGCCTCAAAACTAGAAGGCTTTTGTGGTTGAGTTGAGTTGACTTGGGTCAACAGGCTGCAGTGCCTCACATGCTCTAGTTCTAAGGACCTGTCACTCGTGCACTCCATGATCGCCCTGGGCTGTGTGGCCTGGAGTGTGTGTGTGTGGGTGTGGGTGTGGGTGTGGGTGGGTGTGTGGGTATGGGTGTGTGGGTGTGGGTGGGTGTGGGTGGGTGTGTGTGGGTGTGGGTGTGTGTGTGTGTGTGTGTGTGAGTTGTGTGTGTGTGTGTGTGTGTGAACCTCATGACAGCGCTCTCAAGCCTTAATGATTTTCTACCTGTTGCCTTTCCCCTCCTCCCTCGTCCCTCCCGCTCTCCTCCAGCTACCACTCGGAGCACGAGTTGCTGCGCTACCTGCACCGCCTGCAGGCGAAGGACCTGTCGCTCGTTCACTCCATGATCGCCCTGGGCTCGTGCACCATGAAGCTCAACGCAACTGCAGAGATGATTCCTATTACATGGCCCGAGCTCGCCAACATGCACCCCTTTGCTCCCCTCGACCAGACCCAGGGCTACCAGGTAGGCCTCTCTTTTCTCCCTTGTCCCTCTCTCCTCCCTCCTCCCCGCCCGCCATTGACCATATCAGGCGGTCTTCAGCGGCCCGGGCGCCAGGCTTTCGGAGATCACAGGTTTTGTCTGAAACTGTCGGGTCTGTTGGGCCCCATGCTGTTGCCTTAGCTTTTTTTTTTCTATCTGACTGAGCTACCATTTTCCTATATTCACCACCATCGCAGGAGATGATCCAACGACCTGGGCGCCATGCTGGCGGAGATCACAGAGTTTTAATGAAAGGCTACCACATGGATTTGCTCCACCGCCCTTCCTCACACTCTTCTCCCCCCCCTTCCTGCCACTCCTCCGCCATTGACCACCATCGCAGGAGATGTTCAACGACCTGGGCGCCATGCTGGCGGAGATCACAGGCTTTGACTCGGTCTCCCTGCAGCCCAACGCGGGTGCCGCTGGCGAGTACGCCGGACTCATGGCCATCCGCGCCTACCACCAGGTAGGGTCACTAGGAATACTGGCATGTAGGCCCATACATGTGGTCTCACGAGTCATGTCAAGAGTCTCACTGCAGCCCAACGCCGGTGCCGTTGGCGATGACACTGGTGTCATGACCGTCCGCGCCTACCACATGGATGGCGCATGAAGGCGATTCTCACATGGTTCTACTTTTAGGCGCCTCGAAGGTAGGTTCAGTAGAGGCTCACATGGTTCAACGTGAAACGGTTGACTTTTGGTTGACTCCAGACTCACCTGAACTCATGGCCGTCTGCACATACCAACTCCAGGTAGGCTCGATGTTGGACGGAACAAACATTGGCTCATGGCCATCCAAGCAATGTGAGCTGGTATCCTCCCCCCTCCTCCCACCCCCCTCTCCCCGACCTCTCCTTTCCCACACCCACCCCCACGCCTTGTCCATCAGCGGGCTTCCTAGTGATCCACCTCCCAGTTTCTCAGTCTCAAGGCTACCACCATTACTATGTGTTCCAGCGCCAGCCATGCCTCCTCAATCACCCTGTACCAATCCTTCCCCGCATTCTACTCCTTTCCCCCCCCCCGCAGACCCGCAGCTGACCACCGTTCCACCACCGCAAAATGTGCATCATCCCCCTTTCCCCGTTTCCTCACCCACCTCTGGCCGCTCCCCTCCCTTCTCCTTTTCCCCCTCTCAGTCCCACACCAACCACCACTGCATCATGTGCATCATCCCAGTGGCGGCCCACGGCATGAACCCAGCGAGTGCAGCCATGTGCGGCATGAAGATCGTGGCAGTGGGCACCGACGACAAGGGCAACGCCAGCCTCCCCCTTCCTTCCCTTCCCCCCCTTCTTGGGAGCTCCTTTTTTCCAAACCCTACCTCCCCCCTCCCATTCGGCGACCCTCTCCCCCCTCCCCCCGCCCCCCCACCCCCGCCGCCCATTTTCTCTCCATGCAGTCCCGCGGCGACCACCACCGCAACGTGTGCATCATCCCAGTGTCCGCCCACGGCACAAACCCAGCAAGTGCAGCCATGTGCGGCATGAAGATCGTGGCAGTGGGCACCGACGACAAGGGCAACGTCAACATCGCTGAGCTCAAGGCCGCTGCTGAGAAGCACAAGGACGACCTCGCTGCGCTCATGGTGAGACAAGCACCACCCACCCACTCCCCACTCCCCACTCCCCTTGTGGTTGAGTAAGAACAGTCGGGCTTGTAGTGTGGGAAATCCAGTCCTCTCTGCTGCTGGAAGTCGTTTCAAGACATGAAGATCGTGGCAGGGGACACCAACGACAAGGGCAGCGCGAACATTGCTGAGCTCAAGGCCGCAGCTGAGAAGCACAAGAACGACCTCGCTGCGCTTATGGTGAGGGAGCCACCACTCTGCCCATGATCAGAGTAATCCACTCCCCTCTGCTGGTGGAAGGCCACTCGAGGCATGAAGATGGTGGCGTTGGTGGCACGAAAGCGTTTATGGCAGTTGGTCTTGTGGTCTGATGCACGGTGCACCTGAGACAGTTGTTGATGTCTCCCTCGCTTCCTCTCTCACTCCCCTTCTCCGCTCACCCCTGAGGCACTCGATCAATCTGCCACTGTTTTTCCTAATATTTTCATGCATCTGTGTGTGTATGTCCATGTGTGCGTATGTACATGTGTGCGTATGTACATGTGTGCGTATGTCCATGTGTGCGTATGTCCATGTGTGCGTATGTCCATGTTTGCGTATGTCCATGTGTGCGTATGTCCATGTGTGCATGCCTGTGTTTGTGTGTGTATGAATGTGCGTATGTCCATGTGTGCATGCCTGTGTGTGTGTGAATGCGCATGGCTGCAGATCACGTACCCATCAACCCATGGCGTGTACGAGGAGGGTGTGGACGAGATCTGCCGCATCATCCATGCCAATGGCGGTCAAGTGTACATGGATGGCGCTAACATGAACGCACAGGTGAGAATCGAGTGTCTGTGCACGTCTATTTGGGAAAATATCCCGCCCGTCAACCCATGTCCTAGCATCCATGCCTATTGCGGTCAACTGTATATAAATGGAGCCATCATAAAACGCCCAGGTGAGAATTGAGTCAATGAGGATTCACAGGCGGTCATAGCGGTTACATATATGCACATGCATGTGCCTATCTCGCATTATCGTTCCAGTGGTGGGCAAGTGTACATGGATGGCGCCAATGTTGAACACACCGGAGAGATCTGCACAAGTGAACATGCGTGCACATATTGGAAGATCACCTACCCATCTACCCACCCAACCCTCCCTCCCATCCGTTTTCTATTTGTCCCTCAGGTCGGCCTCACCAGCCCCGGCCACATAGGGGCCGACGTGTGCCATCTCAACCTGCACAAGACTTTCTGCATCCCCCACGGAGGAGGCGGACCCGGCATGGGGCCCATTGGAGTCAAGGCACACCTCGCCCCCTTCCTGCCCTCGCACCCAGTGGTGAGTGTTGGGGCGTGCTGGGGCGTGGCACACTGGATCAAGTCGTAACCCTTCTTTCCTCCTAAGGCCACCTTCCACATCCGCCATGGAGGAGGGGGTCTCGGCATGGGGCCCCTTGGAGTCAAGGCGCACCTCGCCCCCTTCCTGCCCTCCCACCCACCCTGTGGTGAGTGCGGAGTGTTTCGTTTCAGTCCACGGGCCAAGTCCCCTCTGCACTGTTATGAGACACTTGTTATGAGGTCGCCTGTAATGCCTTCACGTGTGCCCCGGTCCAGGAGCCCACAGGACGCATCCCTCCTCCACGTGCTGGCAGCACAGGTGCCATTGGCGCTGCTCCCTGGGGCTTGGCGCTCATCCTTGCCATCTCCCCCACTAACCCTTCACGTTGTCCCCTGCTGCGCCTTGTGCCCTGATCTAGGTGCCCACTGGAGGCATCCCCCCTCCTCCCCCGGGTTCCGTGGGCAAGCAGATGGGAACCATCGCCGCTGCGCCCTGGGGCTCGGCGCTCATCCTGCCCATCTCAACCACCCACGTCCTTCCCCGCACTCCTTTCTCCCTCTTGATACCAATGTTCCCCACCCATCAGGTGCCCACTGGAGGCATCCCCCCTCACCCCCCTCCCGGCTCCGTGGGCAAGCAGATGGGAGCCATCGCCGCTGCGCCATGGGGCTCGGCGCTCATCCTGCCCATCTCCCCCACTAACCCCTTCACATTGTCTCCTGCTGTGCCTTGTGCCCCGATCCAGGTGCCCACTGGAGGCATCCCCCCTCCCCCCCCTGGCAGCGTGGGCAAGCAGATGGGTGCCATCGCCGCTGCGCCATGGGGCTCGGCGCTCATCCTGCCCATCTCCTTCATGTACATCGCCATGATGGGCGCCAAGGGGCTCACGGATGCTTCAAGACTCGCCATCTTGAACGCCAACTACATGGCCAAGAGACTGGAGGTATGTGAAATATTGGGATGTTGGCATGTTGACAAGGCGCGAATAGTCATCTGTCAGCTCATCCTGCCATGTATACTGACATGTAATCTGCCCTCCTCCTCCATGCAAACTTCAACTATGGGGGCTGCTTAGTTTATTGACTCACGGATGCTTCAAGACTCACAGGTGCTTCAAGACGCTCAGATGCTTTAAGACTCGTCCCTCACCGTCCCTCCTCTCCTCTATCTCCATGTGTGCCCCTCACTCCATCGTCCAGACCCACTACCTGTGCTGTTCCGACAAGGTACCAATGGCGCTTGCTGTTCAGAACCCTTGTCCCCCTCTCTCTCACCACTCCTTCTCGCCTCCTTCCCTGTGTGCGCCCATCCCTCGCCACCCTCCAGAAATACCGCCCTGCTCTGTTCCGAAGTACCATCAGCCCTTGCCGTTCAGATCAGAACTAGCCCCCCCCTTCACCTGTCCTGACCTCCATCTCTCTCTGCCCTCCCCTCTCCCTCCAGACCCACTACCCTGTGCTGTTCCGTGGTGCTAACGGCACCTGCGCACACGAATTCATCATCGACCTCAGGGGGTTCAAGGTGGGTTGCTGATGGAACGCATGTGAAACGCCAGGTGAAACGCCAGGTGAAACCGTTGTAACACTGAGCTGTTTGCAGGTGACACGTCGGGAGTATCAGTCTTAAACCTGATGTGCACTCCTGGGGTGTTTCAGTCTGTTCGGGAGAAAAGCCAAGGCTCACACGAGGGAGCAGAGGGGCCTGGGCTGTATCAACTGGTGCTTTCGCCAACTGCTCGCAATAACTGCCATTCTCATTTTCTCGCTCCAATCCTTACCCGGAGCTTTATGCCTCGTATTCATTCACTAATTTCCTCACTTCCAACCCGTCCTTCCACTGACAAGCCGCACCATGCCTGTCCGAGCCTCATTGCTCATACCTCATCCTGTCCTTCCCTCCACCAGACCACGGCGCACATTGAGCCGGAGGATGTGGCCAAGCGGCTGATGGACTATGGCTTCCACGCCCCCACCATGTCATGGCCCGTGCCTGGAACCCTCATGATCGAGCCTACAGAGTCAGAGAGCAAGGTGCGCTGATGTGGATGAATTTTGATTTCCTTATCAATATCTGTGTCTGTTTCAGCCTTCCTATTTACTTGTGCTTGTATCCAAGCATCCAACGCCATTGCCCTCCTTTCTCTACCCCCCCCCCCCCCCCCCTTCAGTTTGTTCCCTTCCCCCATCCCCTATCCCCCATCCCTCACCCCCTATCTCCCCACCTTTCTATCGTTTGTGTGTGCTACTACCATGGGACCACAGGCTGAGCTGGATCGTTTCTGCGATGCAATGATTGCAATCCGGGAGGAGATCCGAGCCATTGAGGATGGGCAGGCGGACAAGGCAAACAACGCGCTCAAGAACGCGCCCCACCCCGCCTCTGTGGTGATTGCGGACGAATGGATCAAGCCCTACCCACGCGAGCAAGCTGCCTTCCCCGCTCCATGGGTGAAGGCTGCCAAGTTCTGGCCCACTACAGGACGCATCGATAATGTGTACGGTGACCGTAACCTGGTCTCAGTGTTGCCACCTGCTGATTCGGTATAGGAGTAGCGGTTGGTTCCGAGGGTTGAGGTATGAAATTATGTTTGTTTTTCCAGTAGTATTGCTGATTACACCGTCTTTATCATAAGCATTTTTAATGCCCAACGGCAAACAGCCTGTGTGCACTAATGGAACGCCATGAAACGCCTTATGCTAGCATCCAAGCCATGTTTATGCTCAGGAGGCTTTGTCTTAAACTTTAGCGAAAGCCTCTTTACCTATAGGTAGCCACATTCTCGTTACGACATCACAATAACGCAGCGTAGTCCAACCGAGTTGATGGCTTAGTGCTGGTGAGCCGTTATCTGGAGTGCGATGTCGGCTGCGATTCATGGCCTTGGTTTGGAAGTCGCAGGTTCGCCGACCGCTAGCGAGAAAACCTATCTCGTGGCAGATTGGTCAAAGCAAAGTGGAAGCACGGGATGGGCTCGGCATTCATACCAGCATGCTGATCGCCCAGCATGTCGCTGAGCCTAGAGTAAACCACCAATAAGCGAACTTTGCGTCTCGGCACGGCGGGAAAAGTTCGCCTTATATCTGTTCTTCCGAGCCTCATCATCTGCTTCGTCTCACCCAACTTCTCCCGAGCCTGCACCAAGGCTCACTCGTCCTGGCACACTCGGTCACTTGTTCCACGGCTGTGCTGGCAGCTTTGGAAAGGCAGGGGAGACCTGCTTAGTGCCTTTCATTTGTGGACCCTCAAGCAGCTTGCCCCAGACCCGCACTAGACTGCGGTTCAGTGAATTTCTTTGCGTTATTTAACGGTCGAATAGAACTCTAAACCGGCTGAATAGGGGCATTGAGCTAAACGGACATTTTGGACACCCCTGTTTGTACACGGAGTGCCAGAGTGGGGAGGAGATGTTTCATCTGTGGCTATGACCCTTTCCTCTGCTGCTGTGTGAGGGTGGTTTCCGCTCTGATCTAGGCCTCTTATCTACTACAAGCTTAGCTTGGAAACGCCTTTGGGTTAGGGGTTTCAGTTTGAGTGAGTTGGTTAAGTTAGTTAAGCTAGCTTGTACGGGATTGTGGCGGAGGAGTAGTAACATATCTTGCATATAGATTATCTGGAAATAGGGTTTTCAGCAGATATCCTGAGTTAGGGTTGCTGGATCGGTGGTCAACATGTTCTGGCGAGTAGCTGGCCTTGCAGCAACATCACCGGTCAGTCCGCTGGCATTTATCTCGAACGTAGGCTTAGCTTCGCAGCTGAACGGTTCCTGACAGACCCTCGAGTTTTCTTTTGGGATTTCCAGGTGGATCTAATTCTTGACAGAGATCAGTACACCCTCGAAGAGCTACTGGACGAGGATGATCTTATCCAGGAATGCAAGTCCCTGAACAATCGGCTTGTGAATTTGTATGTACTGTAATCTCAAACAAGGCTATGGCTAGTTGTGACAACCCAGTGCATCGTTTCTCACCGTAGTTTTGGGGTCCTCCTGTTTTCAGCCTCAAGGGGAAGCCGCAAGTCGAAAAGATGATCCGATATGTGGTGGAGGCTCCTCCCGATGACGGAGATGCTAAGCGGACATTCAAGTATGCTTAGTCTTATCTGTTCGTAGCTCGGATTAGAATCTGGAGGAGTACTTAGTCGATCGCTTATCTGTTCGCAGGTTCCCGTTCATTTCATGCGAAGTCTTTACGTGCGACATTGATCAGATCCTGACGACTGTGGTTGAGGAGGACGAGGTAAAATTTGCTCAAATGCTGCATTCCTTGAAGCTGGTTTTTCTTGTTTTTTTTTTACTTGGATAATCAGCTGTTAGACTGCGCTGAAGGCCGGTTTTGCTTTCAATGACAGATTATGGACCTGCTTTTCTCCTTCACAAATCCGGATGGTCCGCACTCAAATCTCCTCGCAGGGTATTTCAGCAAGGTGTGTCCATGCTCGTTCCATAGACCACAACTGCGATGTGTCGAGTACTGTCTACGTGCCATTCATTTGACTGCCGTGTCATAAACGACCCCCTCTTTTACACAGGTGGCTGTTTCGCTCCTTATCCGGAAAACCCCAGAAGTAATGGCATACCTTCAGGTGTGTAGGGCTGTTTTCCGCTCGTTTCCTCGACTTTTTAATTTTCCTTTGGACTAACAGGTTTCGTGTATGCTGACATATATGTTTTTCAGAAGCATCCAGAGGTCTTGGATAACCTGATTCGACTAATCGGGATCACGTCAGTAATGGAGGTACGAAATCGTACGGGAGGACGTGCAACCGCCGCTTGCTCTGTTATGTCTTCGTTATCGATATAACGGCGTGTGCATTGCGTACTGTACAGGTCGTGATGAAGCTTGTGGGAGCAGACGATCAGATCATGATGTATCATTCCGACAAGCTGGAATGGCTGGCTGAAACGAGCCTGCTGGACACATTGCTGTCCCAACTAAGTGCTCAGGTAACGTTGCGCCGTGACAATGACTCTTTTTCGGGAATCAATGTTATGCAACGACTTTCGAACATAGCGCTCTCTTCTCGTCTGTTTCGCAGAGCTCGTCAGATGTTCATGCGAACGCGGCCGAGTGCCTGTCAGCCATTGCGAGAACAGCTCCATCTGCATTGGCGTCTCAGTTGTCAACCCCCAAGTGAGTATCCGCTCTTCCTTTTTCTCTTGCAATGGTAATCCTATCAGATTTCGTGTATTTTTACAAGGAGAGCCACGGTTTTCTGTGTTCAGGTACATTGGAAAGTTCTTTGAGCATGTGCTGGAAGCCCCCAGGTCAATGACGTCCGTCATCAACTCCCTGTCCGTCTGCATCACGTTATTAGACCCAAAGCGCGCAGCGCCTCCTGGGGCTATGCGCAATCAGTTGCAGTATCAGCTGCAGAACCAGCAGTACCAGCAGCAGCAGCAAGTAGTGACTGTGGAAACCGTTGAGGGGATGGTTCAGCGATTGGGTAAGCACCCGCAGCAGCTGTCTATCTCGCGACCATTGTCTTGTGATTGGTTCAGAGCGTTGAGCTTAGCCGTTCCGTGGGATACCGTGCGGATATAATTTTTCTCACACATCACTTGCGCTGTGTTTTGCCCTTTTTTGTCCCATTTCAGGCGAGCTTATAGCCATTCTAGACCTTTCCAATGACGACAAGGTTCTTCCAACAACTTATGGAGAACTACGGCCTCCACTTGGAATCCACCGCCTCAAGGTACAAATTTTGTTGCGAGAGCAGAAGACTTATCATCACGAGGTCTCTTTCCTAGCTTGCTTTTATCATCTGCTGCCATTCTGCTTTCTTGACCCGTGTTGATTTTGCCTGGTGGTTTTCTCAACAGATTGTGGAGTTCATAGGGGTCCTCCTCGGCACCAACAGTGAACGAGTGAGAGAGGAGCTCGTGAGGCTGGGCGGCGTGCGCACTTGTCTGGATCTCTTCTTTAGGTGCGCTTCCCCCCACTCCCCACCCCTCTCCACCCACCGCTCTTCCCCTCCCTCTCCCCCCTGGTTTGCTACTGTTAACCTGCACTGTTACATTTCACCATTCGGGTGTTAATCACACAAATTGCTTACGACCAATGTCAAATTTCCGTTAAAAAAACCTTAGCAATATGTGTTGCACGGTTGTCCACTGCGTCTCCTCAGATTTCACTTCAACAACTTCTTGCACCATCACGTGGAGAGAATGGTGATGGCCATCCTCGAGAGCGGCAGCTCGCTGCTGCTGGAGCATCTCTTTGTGGAGTGCGACATGCTCAACCGAGTCATGACTGCTTACGACGACCCCCATGCGCCAGACTCACGGCCAGAGGTACGCCTTTCGTCCCCATACCATCGTTACACCAGGTTCCCGTGTCCCCATGCCATCGTTTCTGTCCGCTTCTCCCTTCGCATGCCCCAGCTTGCACATCCAGTTCCTCACACAGATCTCTGAGCTTAAAATTATCCCAGTGACATTGTCTTTCTGTGGCCTTCCTGTGTTGCTGGGAGCAGCCGCGAGCGGCGTCAGCCAGAGTGCCTGCGCGGAGCGGGTACATGGGGCACCTGACGAGAATAGCCAACAGGATCTGCCAGCTCGGAGCCTCAAACCCACAAATCGAAGGCTACATTCAGGTGGGTGCATCTGGAGATGTAGGTGAAAGTAGCGTTGTGTGCCAGTCAGGGTAAGTTTCTACACTCTGTAGGAATTTTCCCTTTGCCATAAAGAGTAGATTCCGTCCATGACAACTCGTCTGTACATGTGCTCACGAGAGATATTTGAGAATTCTCAAAACTCTCTTGTAAAGAGTAGCTTTCGTCCATGACAACTCGTCTATACATGTGCTCACGACATTGTGATCCGCGGCTCACCTCCTTCCTCCCCGTGCAGGCAAATGCGCGGTGGTCCGACTGGCAGAAGAACGTGCTCAGAAAGCGTCTCTTGCTGGAAAATGTCTATCAGTGGTCTTGCGGGTAAGCGTCCCTCTTCCCTGATCGCTTTAGAGTCAAGACTAGCCCCAGAACATGGCTTTGTAGTCAGCCGAATCTGTCTCTCGGTGCCTTCCTTCAATGGGCAAATGAATAAGTTGCGCTTCAGTTGATAGCCTCGCTGGGTTGTCAGCACGAACAACGAATCTGGCAGCAGGGTGCTCCTTTTATCTGACGTGGAGCGCTTTTAAAGTTGTGGGTATGGTGATTTTGGCAATCACGGTATGGTTGGCATCTGGCCTATTATCACATGCGCTCTCCTCCCTTCCCATTCCACGTCCTTCTGCCCTTTGGCAGGCGGCCCGCAGCCCCGGATGACTGGCTGTGCAACTGTGGTGACGATAATGAGTTCAACGACCGTGACCGGGCTCAGCTTCTGGACCAATCTGATTCTCCTCCCACATGTCTTTCCCTTTAACAGGCGGCCAGCAGCTCTGGACGACCGGCCAGGGGACAGCGATGACGATGAGTTCAACAGCCGCGACCGGGACTTTGACATCTCCACCATCTCGCTCACAGGGGGCTCGAACGCCAGGAGCTACGGCCAATACGCCTATGGCCAGTCGCTTCTTGACTCGGACGACGTTGAAGAGGTATAATGCCACCTTGCTGAAAGTTCCCTCCCTCCCTTCGCAAATCCTGCTGTAATTTCCCCTTGAGGTGTCTTTCTGTCTAATCCTCCTGCTTCGCAACGCTTTGGCAGGCTCCTTTATTTCCCCTTTTCTGGTTCCTCTGGTTCCTCTGCTGTCTCTCGTATCTCTTCGTATCCTTTCCTCTTCAAGCCAGCCTGTGTCTTTTCTGTTGAAGCACTGTCACTTGCTTGTTTGCCTGTTGTTGCTTGATGCTCTTCTCTCTCTCGCGCTCCCTGCTCTAGCTCTTGCTCCGATGTAGCAGCAGCTGCTGCTGCATCTGCCATGCAATGCGAGGCAGCAGCAACCGCAGCAACTCATCATTGTGCCAGGGGATTGTGCTTGCTGTTGTGAACTGCATGTGGGGCTGTTACACGCTCTGGTGTGTCGCGTCTCCATCGCTCTCAGGGCCACGAGCTCAGGGATCCTGTAAGTGCCGCTGCCCTCCCTCCCCTCCCCCTTCCTCGAAACCGTATGGTCTGCCCTTATCCCTCCATCTTACCTTGTGCTCCTGCAATGATTGATATGCCATCTACATCCGTCATGGTGTCCTTGCATCGATCTTAAACGAACTTCCCCAATTGGATCCGACTTTGCCCTTCGGGTTGTGATGCCAGTTATCATAGTGAACAGATTACTCATCTAAGCATGGGCAGGGTGTAGCAAGGGAGTAGGACAGCAGTCATTTCCTGCCCTTTCCTGTGTCCCTTGCTGCTGTATTGTGGTTACGACCTCAATAAAATTCAAATTCGATTTCAAATCCCTGACCTCCCCTGCAGTATGACGTGGATCTGGTCAAGGCGGAGCAAGAAATCGAGACATTGACCCTCACTGAGAACACCGCTGCAAGGTAACACCACCACGTGCTACATGTACATCCATCCAGCTGTTTTTGCCGTAGCAACCATTCTTAGGCATGGCGCTCTCTGACAGTCCCGCTTACTTGAACGCCTATTCAGGCTCCTCTTAGGCATGGCTCTGCTGGATTTCAGCGGCAACGAATCACGACATTTCATACGCAGAACTAGAATCCATGACTTCTCTAGTGCTGTCACTACACGGCACGCAAATCCCTGTCATATCTGTTACCATCACCTTCCGGTTGTCCTGTCAGCACTTTGTCTGTTCTTGAGTCGCCTCAAAGGAAAATCTTTGTCTTGTCTGTTGCCATCACCATGCACTTGTCCTGTCAGTGGTTCGTCTGAGCTTCTGCCAACGCCAGCAGCGGAGGAGCCTGACAACCCTCTGTGTAGCGTCAAGGCAGAGGCTGAAGATGCTGCAGAGGAAGAGGGCAGCACCGAGCAGGCTGGCACTGACGAGTCCTCATTCAAGTGAGCACGCATGGCTACCTACTTATGCGCATAGCTTCTTTTGAGTCGACTCAAAAGACACCTAGACAGGCACTGACGAGTCCTCATTCGAGGGAGCGCGCAGGGCTATCTACTTATGCACACAGCCTCCATTTCATGCATACGTTTGAGGTTTTTTTCCCTTCTCTCTCTGCTCTTTGTGTTGTGTGTACTCAGATCCAAACCCCCCTCCCACCCCCCACCCCTGCCCCCCCAACCCCCATGCTAACCCCACTCCCCCACCCCCACTCTCCGCCTCACCCGTCTTGAACCTTCTCATTCCTTTTCCATTCCTCACCCTCGCCCCATTCCTCTACTAACTGGGTACTTCTCATTACACTTTTGTGTCACCTGGTTTCTTGTGTTTTGATTTCCCCAGGCCGTTGTTGCTGGACGGTCCCAGCAGCCTGTTCACATCCTCTGAGGCAGCACAGACCGCATGGGTGGCATTCCAAGAGGAGCAGCAGCAGATTGCAGCAGGTGATGGGGGGGAGGGCAGTGCAGTCGAGGCATCACTCTCCTCTGGCGATGCCACTCTTTCTGAAGGGGCAGCTGAAGGGGCAGCTGAAGAGGCAGATGTATCTGCTGCACCTGAGGATGCTGCGACTGAAGGTACAAGAAGTGACGAGAGTACTGCTGCTGGTGCTGCGGCCGCTGCAGCAGCAAGCACTGAAGAATCCGGCGGTGCTGCAGCAGAAAGCTCTCAAGACCTCAGCACTGGGGAATCGGGTGTTGAGTCAGGAAGCGCCCAGCAGGACGTGGACCTTTTTGCGAATTCACCCTTCGTTGCCGCATCCACGCCAGAAGCAGCACCGCAATCTGAGGATGCTTCTGATACCAAACCAGAAGTCACACCTGCTCAGGTGGCGGAGCCTCCTGCAGATACACCTGCTGACACCACCTCAGGTGAAATTGCAGATGTTGCCTCTGCTGCAGACCCTGCAGCACCTGATACTCCCTTGTTAGGAGGCGATGCAACACTTCGTGAATTGGTTGCAAGCTCAGAGGTGAGCTTAGCAGGGGAGCCGGGGGCTGGTACTGGAGGGGAAGGGGCAGATGCAGCAGCTCAAGAGCAGCTGGCGGGTAGCAGTGAAGGATCATCAGGGACAGCAGCTGACAGGGAAGGACAGGCAGGGACTGGAGCTGATGCTGCTGCTGCTGCTGTTGCTGCTGAGGACCAATCAGTGGATGCTTCAGCTGAGGGCCAGTCGCAACCAGCCGCTAGTGAGGCGACGGCGGCAAGTGGTGAATCAGCGCAATAAGGGAGCTGTGCCATTCCAACTTCATTCCCATCATACCTTTCAATGAGCTGCTTGGTGTCGTCATCCATTTCATAACATACCGGTAGCTTTTCTCACACCTCATAACTTCCCATCATTCATTCCACTCCCCCATTCCTGCATCTGGGCTTTGCCCATTGTTGGGTTGTGTATCCAAACAAACGGTTCTCATTTTTAGGAAGCGATGTGAAGTTGAGAGGGAGGCAAGATTGAGCATTAGGTATGTAGGCTGAATTAGATTTCACATGGCTCCTGAAACCGAAGAATACAGAGGTTGCTGATCATGTACACCATAGTTGGCTGCGATAATGAGCTTGATCCACTAGGTATTGTGTCCTCCAGGGTTGTACCCCCTGTTGATTACAGCAGATCTTTTCCTGTGGGCGTATCCCAAGTGTACAGGGCTGGTACAAAGTGAAGCAGAAAAACCATTTCCCAACGTGGTGAACTGTACATAACACATAGTGCCTGCGAGGCGCACTTTTGGGGGGACACACCCTATAGGTGGCAGTCTTGGAAAGCCTAGGGTGAGGGGACTGACATGGGCTGGTACCGTAAAACCGCGCCATCTGTGGAGCCCCCTTACATCCGTGTTTTTGTAATACAGGCGAAGACTCAGCCCGTCCTGTGATAGTCAACATGAATTTATCGAATTGCTTAGTACAAATACAGCCCTCGACTCCGAAATTAGATGCCTCATGCGTGGCTTCTGTGCATTTTTGGGGGCAATATGCTAGACGCGTCAAAATTCCCTCGTGGAGTCACTTGTAGGCTTAGGGAGAGCATGTGGTCGGCATACCAGCCTCAAAAGGTCCTTCAACTTTGATGCATTCAGCTGCAACCACGAGTTGATTTGGCAGAGCAGATGAGCATGCCAGCATAGCAATGGGAACAAAAAGAGGAAAGGAAAAGGAAAACGATAAAAACAAAAACATTACAGGTTTGCTCATGTAGGAGTCCATCCCTGCGTCGATGCACTTCATGCCATCTCCAATCAGAGCTTGTGCAGTCATCTGCATGGCAAAGGGAACATCTTGTCAAATTGGGCCATGCTGATGTTATGGTGAAGGCACCTTGTTGCAAGCATTACGGCTATAATTGGTGTATGGCGATTCTTTGTAGACTCATAATCCCGTATCCTCTTGGTTGCTTGTAGCCCATCACAAACTGGCATTTGGACCTGAACGTGCACAGCAACATAGAGATGCAATAAGGGGCAGGGATATTGTGGGGATTGGAAGGGGATGAAACAGAGAAGTTAGCGCCAGAATTTCAGTCAGACACATACCATACTACACAGCAAGCGGGCTGGGGTGGGGTGTCGTGATACTCACATCCATTAAAATCACGTCAAAGTCTTCCTCTTGAACCTTCTCGACCGCTTCTTCACCATCGCTGGCCAGAACGGCCTCATGCCCCCACTTGCGGAGAAGCGTCAGTGCCACCCGCTGGTTCACAATGTTGTCTTCTGCAACCAATATTTTCAGGCTCCTGTCAATTGCTGCTGCTGCTGCCTCATCTGAAGCGGTAGAATTCGTTCCGGACAACCGCTCCTGCAGCACCCAAAGAGGCAAATCAAGGCCTTTTTTTTTTTGGGTTGCTATCTAACTGCTTCAGATCAGAAAAAGAAAAGTCTGCAGTAGGCTTGAGAAAAGGGACATGAACGTGCAACTGTACCTGCAGCGGAAGTTTCAATGCCTGTTTGACCCTTTGTATAAGCAATTTTCTCTTCACAGGCTTGGGGACGTGAAACTGAACACCCAGGCTCTTGCACCTGTTAAGCATGTCGCAATAATCAGCAATCAGAAGGACAAAGAAAACATAGAAAACATGTCACAACCACTTACAGAGACTTGTCATCAGTACTTCCATGTGTCAGCAACACAACAGGAAGCACTGCATCCTCTTCAAGCGCATGCGATAGACCGCCATGAGTTGTCCTGGAGGAATCTTGTATCGTTCTGACTCTGACTGCCTCCAACCCAACACCTGGCACTAGTTGCTGCTGTTCGCCAGCACTGGCATCAGGCTCTTCCGAACGGGACTCTTTCCCTTCCCCTGCAAACAACCAATCTGGTGTCGGTGACTCAGGGCGCCCTAAAGAACCCTCCCTGCCTTGCACAGCGCCCCTCCTGCTGTCTTCCTTCAGTTCTTGAATTCTTGATTGATGACATCTTGAGTTCTTGCAGCGCAGCAGATCCTGCTCCTTGATGTGATGCAGCAGCCATGCACAGTTGGTGCCCCCATCCCCAATTTGCGAGTCGACAATGAGCAGTGTGTATGGTGACTCCTCATATGCCGCGGTTTGGAGCATTTCCAAGGCTAAGAGCGCATCACCAGTATCATTCGCCTCAGCACCCAATCTCTGCAAAACAAATAGCAGCAGCAGTTGCTATCGTGTTTGTGAAGATGGAAGCGTTGGCGGGAAAAAGAATCAGTCTCACTGGGCCAAGATGGAAACAAAACAATATACTAAATACAGTCCTACCTCTAGAGCTGAAACGATGGACTTCCTGGTTGAATCATTCTTGTCCACGACCAGGGCGCGCAGATGGTTAGACTTGGGGCACACACAACTGCACGGCACCAGTGTTGATGATGGAGCAGCCCTGGCTGGCACAGCGAACTTGGCATTGAAAAAGAATGTTGACCCACGGCCTGCTTCGCTCTCAACCCACATATGCCCACCCATGGCATTAGCCAGGCGGGATGAGATCATCAATCCCAATCCCGTCCCTCCATACAGCCTGAAATGCATGGGGAACATTAAGAAGCCTTCAGAAAAGAAAAGGACAAAAATGAAAATAAGTTCTCAAATGCAACTGTGCTTCACCTTGCATCTGATGCACGAGCAGTTTTGAGACGTCTCAACTCAACTAGATCACTATCTCACCTTGCATCTGATGCATGGACCTGACTGAAGGCTTGAAACAGAAGTGACTGCTTGGCCTGAGGTATGCCAATCCCTGGCGCAGAGAGGAAAATACGACCGTTGAACCAAGGATCCATCCAAACGCATACAGCTGTCCAAAGCAATAAATAGTTACGAACCTGTGTCTTTAACTGCAAAAAGAACCTCAGCAGTCTGATCCGTAAGAGAGAGAAGAGTTGCTGATAATACGACCTCCCCTTTGTCAGTATACTTTATCCCATTTCCTGCAACAATAGAATCACCCACATCATTGAAGAACATATCTACTGAAATCGTATGAGAGAAGACAGGGTAACTTACCCAAGAGATTGATGAAAATCTGAAAAAGCCGTCCAGGATCGCCCAAAAGAACTTCTGGCAGATTAGGGGACTTCAGCCAGGATACCAGCACAAGCCCCTTCGTCCTTGCCCGGCTTGCAAGGACAGACACAGCGTGCTCCATCTGCGAAATGAAATGGTAATCAGCAAGTTCCAAAGCGATTGGGGGAAGTGAACACGGCAAGAAACGGCAGGAAAGATGTACCTGGTCTTCAAATGAGAATTCGATATTCTCCAGGTCCATCTTTCCAGCCTCGATCTTGCTGAAGTCCAGAATGTCAGCAATCAGGCGCAGAAGATGCTTCGCTGAATACAAAGACTGCACACAGTAAAAGTTATTTCTCTCGGCTCTGTGGCTCAGCTACAAAAGGCCCTGCAGAAAACAATAAAGGCTTACCAGCTCAAGATACTCGATCTGTTCAGTGCCAAGTGGGGTGTCCAAACAAAGCTCTGTGCAGTTGATGATGCCATTCAATGGTGCTCTGATTTCGTGAGACATATTTGCCAAGAACTCTGATTTTGCCTTGTCAGCTGAAATCGCCTGCTCCTTCGCATCCTGAAGCTGTAACTCTATCTTTTTCCTCTCCTCCACCTCAGCAGATAAACCCGCGTTCAACAGTGCGAGTTCCTGAGTGCGCTCCACCACCTGAACCAAGAAAGGCTTTTTTGGCTTCAATACTTCAGAATATAATCCAGCAAAAAATGACGAACCACTGACCAACACAGGACAACACACACCTTATTTTCCAAAGTTGAGTAGGAATTGGAGATTTGATCAGCCATGTAGTTGAAGACAGTGCAGAGCTCATCAATCTCATCTTTCAAGCAGCCCTGGCGGCCATGGGCTCTTGCAGTGTAATCACCCCGTGCAAGTTTGCTAGCTGCATCACCAAGATCCGTTATAGGATGAGAGAAGTACTGCAAGTGGGCAGGATTGGAGACGGTCAGAAGAAGCTCGCCCATGGAGATCGTTAATCCGCACAACGGAACATAGATGTACCACATACCTTGGCCAATAGAAACGCTGCAAGTATTCCCAGCACAAGAATGCAAGACAACGCAATCAGAAGTATCCTCTCAAGCTTCAGGATGGACGAGTATGCTTCTGCTTTGTCCAACGTCGCTGCCAGACCTGCAAGCCTATATGCAAGTTTTAGGCAACTTCTACTGACGCATGACGCATTAAACACCAGCAGAAAGCTTACATGGATCATGACCCACGGCAACAGAGCCTAGAAGTCATGGTTGAACGAACAAAACAAATCATGCATGACATTACCCCAGGAGGCGTAGTAAATGGGTCGATAGGAAGCTATGATGTCCACTCCACGGAAGTCAATCCCTTCAAAGAAACCAGCCTGGCCTTCTGCGGCCCTGAAAGCAACGCCCTTGTAAGTCGTGTTCGTACTTGTAGGAGCCTTTACAGGAGGAATTACGAAATTCACAAGGTTTCCGTTCTCAGTAAGATAGGCAACAAGAAGTTGTCCCGTGGACTGAAGGCCAGTCCCGTCGTGAACAATCTCCTTAAATTCATTGGCATTGACTACTGCGAAAACAATCCCGCAGGATATATTCTGAAACATGAAGAAAAACAAGATGAGAGCGCGGAATTCAACGTCTCTGTGTGTGACAACATTGAAATGCTAATGCCGTGATAAATGGCCAAAATAGACAGTATACCTGAGAGTAGACAGGAGCTGCAACGTCAATAAGGAGTGTATTATTGTACCCTGTGTATGGAATCCCGGACCACACTGATATGTTCCGGTCCTTGGCGATCAACTCCCGCTCATGCAGTCGCTTTGGTAATGCCTTCAATTCAGGTGGGTGTTTGCTGGAAAACAGAAGTCTGCCATCATAGCTGTAAGCTCCTAATGACATGACATTAGCTGCATTCATTACCGCAGAGTTGAGTTCCCTGGTGCCTTCTTTGATGTTTCTCCATGAGAGATTCGCCTTCCCTTGCTTGTGCATGAGAAGCAAGGACGAAATGGCAACACGAGACGCAATCAGCTTCACTGTATCTTGATCTTCTGTGATGTAAGTGAGTATCTAAAACAGCACAGACAAAAACGGAAACCATATTAGATGAGAAAATACGATGGGTTAGGGATTCTTCAAAAGAAGCCGTC